GCATGGGTAACAAGACTGTCTGTTGTCTTTAACGCGTTCAAGTCACTCATTTCATTGTTGATCAAAATCGAAAGCTTTTATGAGGTTTATAGTTGAATAGCCCTTATTTATGGGCCACCAGCGGGAGTCATGTTGGCCTATCCGATACTTGGAAACGATTATTTTCATAGGCAGAGCACCGTCCGGCTGTGTTGAATCAACGTAGAAATTCTCGACCGGGATACGGCAAAAAAAAAGAACTCGCATATACTCATATACTCCATACAATGATGGCTTGATGGGGCTCATCCGATCCGGAGAATAGTTGAAAAGACCGCGCTCGACTTTATTTACCCCGACTAGTACTGTTTTAACCATATTAACATGCACAGACAGTTCCGAAATTTAGAATTTTTTTTATCGCCTCTGTGAAAATCACTATACAGTGAAATCTCTCAGCGGTATTAAGCAGATCCCCAATTAAGCGGACACCCTCTATTAAGAGTACACTAAGCCTGATCCCGAAACGAACGTCTGATATTTCCCTTTATAAGGAACCCCTATTCAGGGGACACCTCTATTAAGCGGACGCGGACACTAAAATAAGTTGTATTTGGCTAATTTCTATTTTTAAAAACCTCTCCGGCATCGGACTGAATTGACAATAGTAGTATTGGATTACGTCCTTGAAATACGTGCTGAAGTCAGTTAATGTTTTAGCATTTACAAACAAATTAAAGTTAGTAATGAAAGGTAATGAATTTGAGCTCTGGATAGCTTCTTTCGTGACAACATGCAACTTTATCACAGTACAGAGTAACCGTTGCCGAATGCTGATCGTGAACAAACATTGCGCAATTTTTACAACCCCTATTAAGCGTAGACTTGGAAAGGTCCCGAAGGTGTCCGCTAAAGAGAGGTTTCACTGTAGATGTCTGCCAGTCTGACCCGCTAATATATTCTTTTTTATGTATTTCTTCTCACCTAGTTGGCAAGTACAAAATACTAAAGAATTCTTACTTTCAAGCAAGTCCAGGAAGGCTCATTTATATACATATGAAAGGATGAATAAATAATGGCCGCCATTATGAAAGAGGTCTATTGTATTTCTTGACCAAGAAAAACACGTCCCAGAGTTTCTTTAACTTAGTTAGTCTCAGATGATTCCTTTGGTTTTAACCTGAGATCAGGCCCAATTTTAGCGGTTCTCATACATTAATATTCTCTCTAACGGCGAATGTTATTTTCAAAGCGAAACGAAAATAGAGCCTGATCTCAGGTTATTTGGTTTAGAATATGAAGAGCAGCTTCCTATTCAAGTTTGCAAAAGCAACGGTAAAAATCCAAAATGATAAAAACCATGCATCAATTAGCATATGCTATTTTTATCTCGCTGTCTTTAAATTTTATTAATTTGGTTGTAACTTTCTATTTCGCAGACCTGGTAAAGGGAAAGGAAAGAGAAAATAAAAAATGTAAATGGAGTAGAAGACGAAAAACATTAACAGCATCTATATGTATCCGAATATTGTTGTTGTTATTATCATTATTATTATTATCATTATTATTATTATTAAGACTTTTTTCTTGTTACAGAAATCTCCTCCATCCTGTTGTGGTGGTATTCCAGGCATGCAAGGGTTTCCAGGCCGTGACGGACGTGACGGCCGAGAAGGACCGAAAGGTGACCCGGGAAGCCCGGGAAAGACTGGGCCTCGGGGACCTGCTGGTGTAAATGGAAAAGATGGAGCTAAAGGGGAGCCTGGTGTACGGGGTCCACCTGGTCCAAAAGGAGAGCGTGGACAAGGTTTAATGCCCTTTAAGAACTGGAAAGAGTGCGCTTGGAAAGATTTAAACGATGACAAAGACAGCGGTTTAATAAAGGTAAAGTTACAAGAACTCTTGGTCCCCATTTATCTTTTCTGCTTTTATGTTATTATACCCAAGCGATTTAACCATTCTTTGTTTATTTCCGTCATATTTAGGACTGTGTCTTCACCAAGAACTTTTCTGACACCGCTCTTCACGTTGCCTGGACTGGTGCGCTAAGAATCTACAAGTGTACAGCCTGTTGCAAACGCTGGTACTTCAGTTTCAACGGCGCAGAGTGTTCAGCTCCCTTACCCATTGACGGTATTGTGTACATGTGGCAAGGCAACACTCAAAACATCCACCGCGTCCGCCATATTGAGGGGCATTGTAACAACATTCACAAAGGAACGGTGCGCGTGGGATTTTGGGTTGGTAATTGTCGAGATGGATCACCTGGTAACGCCTACACGGGCTGGCAATCTGTTTCCAGGATCTTCATTGAAGAAGTTCCTAAGTCTCAGGCCTAAATGTCGAGGCAAAACATTCCTTAAAGCAAAAGCTGTTTAATGAAGAGTGTAGTTTTATAGGTTACTAGCAGATGGATCATATAGATCGTGATAGTATAAGTAACTAACGGTGTCAGCATAATTTATTAAAAAATGCAGGATGCTTTCAAATATTGTGTTTGTGCTGATCTCTCATTGCTAGAATGCTTGTTTTCGACGGACTAATACATCACTTGCTGCCTTTTCAACTTAGCAACTTATTACATTCTCTCTAATTAGGGAGGGAAGAAGATAGAATTGTGTTGATTTATTATGAAATCCATTAAAAGGAATCCATAAGAAGTTTTAAAGGCTATTGTATTTAACAGGGTCCAAAAACGAATTTCCCTCTTTCTCTCCTGAGTAAGGTTGAATTCATCGCGTTGCATTTAGGTTGAAAAACAGATAGTTCTCGTAGCTTTCAAAAGTTATCGTTACCAGAAGAAAACGGTGTTCCCAGAAACAGTCACTTAAGGTAGCCTGTGCTATAAAAGTTGTGAACGGTACTCCCCATTGGCGCGCGCAACTTCTTCATCAGCCAATGAGCTGGATTGGAGTGGAATAGAAAAAAGGTGCATGGCTCACACTGTGGTCTAACCTACATACCGTAACAGCACTCTATTGTGTTTAAACCCTTCGTTCAATTTGGAACGATGTATATTTTCTTTCCCGGAGCCATTAAGCCTTCAGTTTAAGCTAAGTTGGCAAGTAGCGACTTCAGCAAGGACAGATATTTCCCCAGATACCTCGTTTTGGAAATTCCGACCAATCCTGACATAAATAGACACAAAAACGAAATAACATTTTAGAAAAAAAATCCACTGCCACTGTCCCTTTCCTATAAAGGTACCCAGCTAAAATTTAGTGCGAAAGAAAGGAGATAAAATGAGAAAAAGCTCACTTTAAAAAAGAAAGATGTTGGGAAAAAAAGAGAGCGAGAGACAAAGATCTCATTAGAAAATGGCGAAACACAAAAAAAGCTACCACTGAACTGACTCTGCAGTCAACCAGCCATGCAGCAGTCTTTTTTCAACTGTTTTTACCTATGATTATTAGATTAAGACATATATATGCTGCAATGATGGGCAACCGAGTAGTGATGGTATTCCTGGTGTAAATGGACTTCCGGGATTCACTGGAGCACCCTGCCCAGACGTGATGGCTCAAAGTAGTATTCTTTTTAAATTACCTCATAGTGTTCCTAGTGTACTATTATTCACTAGGAAATCCCTAGTCTAATATTATTCACTTTTAATTTAAACCGCTCATTCAAGAACCGTTCAGTCACGTAGCCATAGTTCAAGGGGACATTCCTAATCTGTGAGATAAAAAAATTCAGTTCTTTTACATTCAACTGCATAAAGTCTCCCAAATTTCATTTTAAGTTACATGCTCTCGCTTTAAGGGGGTTAGCCAATTCCCGTTTCGATATCTATGTTGTAACGCATTCTACATTCTCATTATTGCATGCCAAAAGATTTGATAGACTGACTTCTATACATAGAGAACCAAGGTCGGTATGTTGATCCAGCAATGATTATATTTCTGTCATTGAAATTCGCTGATCCGAGATTTTAGTTTCACAAAAGTATTTATGTATGGCTGAGTTTGACTAAGTGGGGAAGTATGAGCTTTCCAATCCTTACTCTACAACCCTGAAGGAAAAAATCGTTGGCTTTATTCACACAAATGAAATAGATAAACCTATGAATAATAAATGTCAAGTTTACACTTTTTGAGAATGTATACAGCCCTTATTTACCATACAACTAATTTGGTCTTCTTTTTGGAAACACGTTTAAATACTAAAACATTGTTTAATTAAAAGCAATTTTCTTCATTTATACAGCTGTTTTCAGTTGCTTGATATAAAAGTATTTGTCAAGCGTATTCACGTGAATTTTTTCCTCTTGATAACTCAGTAAAGGTTAATACTTCAGAGTATAACTTGGTATGAGACATTTTAGTGTTCTGAACTTACCTTAGTGTTGGAAATATGGTGCAGGAAAGATTATCTGAAAATGCACTATGCCAAAATGGTATAAATTGCTCAAAGTAGTGTTCTTTTTAAATTACCTCGGGGGTTTTTGGAACAGGTTAAAAGAACTTTAAATTTTTCAGTTGTTTTTCGAGTTCGTTCTATAAACCCATGACCAAGGATCTCACGGTTTGCTGTCTCAGCTATATCTCACATTACTTTGATATCACTCATGTCACTGGTTCTACTTTCCTTACGGCAGAGCTGTCAGTTCATGAAGAATTATACACAAACGATTCTCTATGTCTATTTCGCTGGTAACCTTCGCATTGCTTCCTGTGACAAGTGCTGCAGTCGTTGGTATTTCACATTCAGTGGCGCTGAGTGTAGCTCTCCTAGTAGAATTGATGGAGCGTACTATATGGCAACAACAGCGCCGGGCAAAAACCTTTACAGGACCGTGACCGTCACATTGAAGGACACGGCAATGACATTCACAAGGGAAAATTGCGAGTGGGATTTTGGGTTGGAAACTGCAATAATGGCCATGCACTTGCTGACGCATACACAGGCTGGACCACAATGTCCCGGATCTTCATTGAAGAAGGGCGCGATCCATTCAACCAAACTTTCCGGAAATTTCGGTCCAAAACTCAATGGATCGGTTCGGTCCAACCGGAAAAGTTTCGAAAAAACGGGTCCACCTTTTGAGGTGGTCCTCTTTTCCCGGTCGGACCGGTTGGAATTTTGGTTGAATGGATCGCGCCCGAAGTCTCAAGAGCCCAACAGCCAACTTGACTGACCACACATGTCCCCAAAGACGCACCTGATAGCAAAATTGTCTTAGTTCGTGATTTTATAAGCATTTAAATCCTTGAACACCGCCCTGTTGATCTGTTAAGGTTTAACAAAAAAATTATAACCAGAATGAACTTGCAATAAAGTTTACGAAAATCAACTATGTAGAACTTCAAAACAAACGTTCTTACAAGATCCTTATGTAAAAATTGTTACCTGTATTGGTCTTTTAGGCAGTTTGCGTTTGGTTCTGGTAATAATTTATATGAATAAAAAATATGCTGCCTTAATTATACGTAGAATGAGAAATAAATTAACTGATAGCATTCCAGATATCTTTCTTGATGTCCTGACTCCAGCGTCGCGTATACACAATTAGTATATACACACTCAGTGATCTTGGTGATTTAAGCAATCTGATTGCTTCGCTATCTCGGACTATTCAACAATATTCACCTCCTAGCGAGTGGATAATGAGTGCGCTCGGTTTTTTTCCCATTTTCTTAGAGAAAGATCTTTTAAAAGTCGACAAAATCCTAGGGTTGACTTTTTTTCAGGCAAGAAAAGACTTCGAAGGATTCAAACGGCGTTTTTCCATCTACTGTTGTTGAGTTTTGTGGTCGATGGATTGTTTACAACTCCCGTTTATTAGCCTAGAAAAGGCCGTTTCGTGAACTCAGCGTTTCCTAACAAGAGCAATTTAATTTGGCCCAAAAACGAAGTTTATTTATGACAAACAAATTTGAAAGCAAATGTTTGCAGAAATTCTACGTTTCAAGTAAACGTGAGAAAGAATGCTACATGAAGACGGCGTCTTACTTCGAGGAACCGAATCACCAGTTTTGTCAGCACTTCATGCGAAGGGCGACACAACAAACCTTTTCGGCTATAAACTTGGCGAGTCAACAGAAAACAACAAAGCTCTTCTTTTCTTCTCAGGTAAGGAAACAATTCAAACTTTTAGCTGTTCCATTTAAGTCATTACGCTGTTGTTTGCGAAGTGATAAGCTTGTGAATTGCCATGTTTGAAAATACGGAGATCTATTTTTAAACTGTCGCGTGTCTAGCTGACCTGATCTGTCAATCAAATTGTACTTTTTACAGCGGTTACAACTAACACGCGCCCTCAAAGGTTTTTTCTTCAGTTCAAACCTGCGTTTTGGTGGACGTTAATCAACCGTTACCGTGGTTTTTCACGCGTTGGCCTAGAGAAGATTCTCTCTCCGTTTCTTGAGCACTCGGAAGAATATGTCGGCGTTTCATCGACATATTTACACACTGTAAGTTACAACCACATAAGCTTTCTCAATCGCTCGCAACTCGTCTGAGTTCTTGCGAGTTCTGGTTTCTATTCGATAACATGAAGAATGATAAGTAGTAAAATTCATTTTCGAAAACAGCCTCCATTCAGAGGAAACTTTTTCTCTTTTCGGTGTGATATCTTTTGTTTCTTTGAATTTATACTAGCTTCTTGGCAATTCAATCATCCACGGCTCCCGTGTTTTCATACATAGTAAATAAAAAACCTGAAAACCGTTACGTAAACTATATAGAATGTTTCGGCTATTTCACTGACCTCGCAGAGACCTCGTTGTTTTAACAATGTAATCCTTCATCTTAATAAAATAATTTAAAAAGCCGTCGTCGTTCGAAATGATTCGCCCTTCATTCAGCGATGAGGGAACCTTCTCCTGCTTCTCTGTCAGAGCGCGTGGAAAACCATGGAAACAGATGATTGACGTTTACGAAAACTGAGGTTTAAACAGACCAAAAAACCCTTCAAAGGCGCGTGTTAGTGGTAACCGCTGTAATGGTTTTGTTGAGATCACTTCGTGTGTATATACTAAAACAATTATTCTTTTCAATCTCGGTGAATAGTGGCTTTAGGAATATTTACCTCGCCACTTCGTGGCTCGGTAAATATTTTGCCACTATTCACCTCGATTTCAAATCATTAACCGGTGTCTACCACGTAAACAACAAAATAGTTTTATGGCTTCTGAGGATCCCACTGGGTTAGCTAACGAATTAAATGATTTCTTCACTTCCGTCGGCAGTATTACTGCTCAAAAAGCCAGGGACTTATCTTTACATCATGGACTTAATGTAAATTTGGATGTGCCGACTCCTTTACACATATCCACAACCGTTAGCCCCGAATTATTCGTTCTCCATCAAGTCACGGAAAATCAGGTAGAAAGGGTGATTAGAAGCCTACCATCTAACAAAGCTCCTGGAATGGACAAGATATCTTCTAGAATTCTTAAAGACAGTTTACCCAGTACGCTAACAACAATTACCCACATTGTGAATAACTCCTTTGTTACCAACACATTTGCACGTGCATGGAAAACAGCAGAGGTTACACCTATTCTCAAATGCGGTAATCCAGATGTCCCTAACAACTATCGCCCCATCTCATTATTACCAATAGTCTCAAAAGTCACTGAAAGGTTGGTACATGGACAACTTATGGAGCATCTAATTAGAAATAATAAACTGGCAGCACATCAGAGCGGAAATAGAAAGCTTCACTCGACAGAAACAGCTCTGTTGTACGTTACAGATCAGTTGCTCCAGGCTATGGATAACAAGAAAGTTTCCATCATGGTCTTATTAGATATGTCTAAAGCATTTGATAGTATTCGACACGACATCTTATTATCCAAGCTACAAAATCTCGATTTTTCCCAGGGTGCGTTGGATTGGTTTCAGAGTTACCTTTCTAACCGACAACAGTGCGTTCGAATTGGTGACGCAGTTTCTAAAGTACTCCCACTTGAGTTCGGAGTTCCGCAAGGCTCTATTTTAGGTCCGGTTTTGTTTACAATCTATGTTAACGACCTCCTTTCTGTTCCTAAACGTTGTCTATCTGCCTCCTATGTTGATGATTGTAAATTGTATTTGTCCTTTTCACCTGCCGAATTACCCACGTCCATCCTCGCCTTAAACGAAGATCTTACGAGAATATCTCAGTGGTGCTGTAAAAACTCTCTTTTGATTAATCCGGACAAAACTAAGGTTCTAGCTGTTGGATTACCACAACTTTTAAAGAAACTGTCATCATTCAGTATAACACTTTTTGACGAGGAAATAACACCTGTGCCTGTCGTTAAGGACTTGGGTGTTCTTCTCGACACACGCCTCAGTTATAACCAACATATCACTGAGATTGTCTCTAAATGCCTTTTTAAATTGTACCAAATTAACAGAATCAAGCACCTCCTGGATAGGAAAACACTTCTGTTAGTAATAAATTCATTTGTCTTTAGTAAACTCCAATATTGTTCAACTGTCTGGAGTAATACCAGCAGCAGCAATATTGACAAGTTACAAAAAGTCCAAAACTTTGCTGGGCGAATTATTCTGGGACTAAGAAAGTATGACCATATTTCGGATGGGTTGCGATCGTTGAAATGGCTTCCTATTAGAGAGAAACTCATTCTAAATGACGCTACTATGATGCACAAATGTATTAACAAGCTTGTTCCAGACTATCTTGCTGATATGTTTAAATCACGTTCTCATGTCCATAATAGACAAACTCGATCATCTGGTGCTTTGGATATACCTTTATGTCGCCTGTCAACAGGGCAGCGCTCCTTTGCTTTCAGAGGAGCCAAACTCTGGAACTCCTTGAATGATAACATTAAGTCCTTAAAATGCCCCAGGAATTTTAGACGTCATCTTGCAAATGTTTTATTAAGTTGATATATTATATTATATTATTGATATATATTTTGTAATTATAATATTATTGTATTTACATTCTCAATTAATTTATATATTTGTATTTTTTTTATTCTATTGAGCTGAAAAGCCCACTTAGGGAGCATCAATAAAGTGTATGTATGTATGTATGTATGTATGTATGTAAAGAGTAATTGTTAATTATAACACAAGATTTGTCAGTAAACTGAGTTATTTTAAGCCAAGAGTATCCACCAACTTAGGTAAGATGTCCTTTAAATTCTCTGCTCCAAAAATCTGGGAGACAGTACCACTTGGCCTGAAGTGTCTGCCATATCATAAGGTTGATTAAGAAAGAATGGAAGTCCTATCATCTAATCCATCAAATCTGTTCTATCACTGATATCATTTGAGATTTTATTTCTTCTCTTTCTGCTGCCGATTATCTGAACATGACGGTGTACAAGAAGAAAGCTCTTGCTACTTTGGACACTGTACGCAAAAGAACTTAATGCCTATTAGCTTCAGTAATCATTATTTATCGGTTACTTTCTTCTCCTGCTTACGTACACTTGTGTAAGTGCCTTATAAAGTGTGAAATAAAGAAAGAAAGAGAGAAAGAGAGAGAAAAAGAGAGGAAGAAAGAAAGAAAGATTGAAGATTGCCAGTTCGCTTCGTATTGAATCTGGAGGTTCACTGTTATAGCACGTTGTTCAAGGATCTCATGTATGTTAGCGCTGAATGTGGTTTAAAGCTTTATCCCATCGGGCCGGGCCAGCTCTGTTATTCCTGATTTATATATTTCGGAATCTCTGATCTTAATGTTCATTAAAATTCTACGGTGAGGATCCGGATATTTTTGTTCAGGTCGTTTTCAACTTGTGCACCAAGCAGGAGTCAATGGGGCAGCTACTTAAACGGAGGTTAGCCATTTTAACAAAACCGAGTCCTAAGCCATTTTCAGTTTTCCGGCCAACGTTTAAGTTTTTCTCTTAATACCATTTATCATGAAAAGTTTTATGAAATCATAAGGTGCAGACTAGAAAAGCAACTAAATTCCCACGTAGGAAAAAATTTGAATTGGCGGTCGAAAGAGTTGCTACACTGGGACCCTTACTTAGACTTCGTTTAATTAAATAACCGACCCAATAATTTCCATCCTTCCACTAAAAGACATGCGAACAGGTGATATTCCGTCCTCGTAACAACCAATCACCCTTTGTGCTTTGTGATACAAATATCTTCCCAGGGTTGAAAGACAACGTGACAAGAAAGTTTTATTATATTTCTAAGCGAGGAGATGGAAGTTGTATGCGACAATTTACGGGACTATTCAGGGGTAATCAGTACTTTAAACATAAAATTGAAGAGGGGGGGTGGTCCCGACCTCTTTTACCCTTCCCCTGGATCCGCCAGAATATATTTTTTCAGCCTGTGCACCGAAGTGCAATCGAACGGAGATCATGCTAGATGTCAACGAAACTAGTTAATGCAACAAGCTTGACTTTCTAGAAATGAGAAGGACTATATAGTTAAATCAACAAGCAAGTTATGTCGCGTTATTTTGTTTGCTAGTATAAGAGAAATATTTATCAACACTTTCAACAATTCGAATATTGGAAAAAAAGCGATAAACGAAAAAGTCAATATTATTCACTTTTAATTTAAACTGCTTATTCAAGAACAGTTGAGTCACGTAACCATAGTCCAAGGGGACATTCCTAATTTATGAGATAAACAATTTTAGTTCTTTTACATTCAACTGTGTAAAGTCTACCAAATTTAATCTTAAGTTATTAATTATTACCCAATTCCCGGATCAATATCTATGTGGTAACGCATTCTACAGTCGCATTATTGCAGCCAAAAGAACTGAAGTAGAGACTGACTTCTAGACATAGTTGACCATTGTCGGTATGTTGATCCAGCGATGATTAAATTTCAGTTATTAAAATTAGATGATCCGAGATTATAGTTGCACAGAAATATATGACTGAGGTTGAATAAGTTGGGAACATGAGCTTTCCAATCTTTACTACTCTAGAACCCTGAAGAAAAAATCGAAGCTTTGGTTGGTTATAGATTCACACAAATAAAAAAAAATAAACGCATAAACTAGAAGAATTAAAAATGAATGTCAAGTTTACTCTTTCCGAGTATACACTGAAGCCCTTATTTGCCACTGATATATCTGATTTAGTCTTGTTTTTGGAAACATGTTTAAACACTAAATCAATGTTTAATTAAAAACAATTTTCTTTGTTTATGTGGCTACTATGTTTTTACCGAGTTGCTTGATATAAAGATACTTGTCTAGCGTATTCACGTGGATATTTTCCTTCTGATACCTAGAGGTTAATACTTCAGTATAACTTGGTATGTGACATGTATTACGAACTCACCTTAGTGTTGGAGATATGGAAATATATCTAAAAATGCACTCCTTGCTGCAATGGTGGAAAGCCGGGTAGTAATGGTATTCCTGGTGTAAATGGACTCCCGGGCTCCCCTGGGGCACCCGGCTGTGATGGTCGTGATGGAATCAAAGGAGAACAGGGACGCCCGGGAGACACTGGACCCCAGGGACCTTCTGGGGAGAAAGGAATGAAAGGAGAGCGTGGTAGGCAGGGTCCTGTTGGTCCCAAAGGAGATCAAGGAGAGAAAGGTGACAGTGGAATCCAAGCAGGGCCACATAACATGTGTTCGCACTTAAACTGGAAGGAGTGCACGTTTACTAGGGCAAAAGGCAAAGATACAGGAGAGTTATACGTAAGTTGTCAGTTATATTATAGTTACCGTATATGACTAAATAAAAATGAATGAACTCTTAAATTGTAAAGGTCAGTCCACTGTTAATAAAAATTTTTTTACAAAGGCCCAAGCGTGACAGACCGAGAAGTATGTATATTGCAGTAGTATTTGTCAATGTGTGTTAGTGTGTTACTGTTCTGATGAATTTAATTTGTCTTCTTTGAGTCGGTGAATTGTACGACCAATAAATCATCTTTTTTTTTTTAAGTTATGTTTAGCCGAATTCAGTTATATTGTAAAAGATCGGTTGCAAGCCTTCTAATCGAGTTTTATACAGATGACTTAGAATCTGATCACACCAAACCTTTGATGTAAAATAGGTGCAAAGATTGCAAGCGTTTGCTCTCGCTCAAGGCCAGGAGTATGGTCGTGGCCTGTACTATGTGGCTTTATCCAAACTTAAAAGCGGAGCTGTCTTAATCAGCTTATATCATCTACGCTGAAAAAGCGAAACCTGAATAGATAGTGAACTTGAGTCGTCGATACGGTCAATTGATAAGTTGAAAAGATTCAAGATCCAAAAATTTTAGTCGAAATGTTCATTTAGTTTCAAATGTTTCTAATGATGCTCCTTTATGTGCCGCGTTCTGTTAGCACTGTCATATTAATCAACTTTAACTCATTTTTTTTATTTAACACCAACCAATCATATCACTCATTCTATTTTCCTTGCGGCAGAGCTGTCAGTTCATGAAGAATTATACACAAACGGCTCTCCATGTCTACTTCGCTGGTAACCTTCGCATTGCTTCCTGTGACAACTGCTGCAGTCGTTGGTATTTCGCATTCAATGGCGCTGAGTGTAGTTCTCCCGGTAGAATTGATGGAGCGTACTATATGGTAACAGCAGCTGGCAAAAACCTTCACCGTCACCGTCAAATTGAAGGACACTGCAATAACATTCACAAGGGAAGAGTGCGAGTGGGATTCTGGGTTGGAAACTGACTTGCGACTGACGCATATACAGGCTGGACCACAATGTCCCGGATCTTCATTGAAGAAGTGGCGAGAGCACAACAGTAAACTTGAATGACCACACATGTCCCCAAAGACGCACCTGATAGCAAAATTGTCTTAGTTCCTGTTGAACACCGCCCTGTTGAGCTGTATACTTTAACAAAAACTGAGTTGTAGCTAAGAAAATAAATCATGAGAAGTTAAAATTTGTGGAATAAATCGATTAAGCAATAAAGTTTAAGAAAAGCAACTTAATAGAATTTGTTATTCCAAACAAACTTTGTCACAAGATCCTTACCTAAAAACTGTTACCTGTATTTGTCTTTCAGGCAGTTTGCCTTCGGTTCTGTTACTGCCAGTTCGCTTCAGTTTTGAATCAGGAGGCTTACTGTAAGTTATAGCTTGAGAGCCTAATTGTTCAAGGATTTCATGTTAGCGCGGGCGAACTGTGGTTTAAAGCTTCAACCCATGTTACGACAAGGACGGGCCAGGTCTGGCATTTCTGATTTATATATTTCGGGGTCTCTGACGTTAAATTGCTTTAAAATGCAAAGAGGCGGATGCGGATATTTTTGCTGAGGCCGTTTCCAACTTGCGCACCAAGTAAAAGTCAATGGGCCAGACTTATTTCAACGGAGTTTCGCCATGCAGTGTTTAAAAAAACCGTGTCCTAAACCATTTTCACTGTTTGCCGACAAACGCTTTTATCTTAATACCATTTTTCGTGAAAAGTTTTATGAAATCATATAGGCGCAGACTAGAAAGACAATTATTTTCACTACGAATAAAATTTGGTGGGTGAAAGAGTTGCTAAATCGCGGCCTAACTTAGACTTTGTTGAAATGACCGGCCCAATAATTTCCATCCTTTCATGCGGTTACGCATCGGTTTCTTTTTCAGTACTAAAAGGCATGTGAACGCGTAATATTCCGTTCTGGTAACAACCAGTCTTCCCTTGTGCTTTGTGATAAAGATCGAATATCGTTTTCCATATTTAATCAAATTGATCAAACCCCAAAAAAAGCAAGTTGTATTTTTAAACGAGGAGATGGAAGTTGTATGCAACAAATTCACTGGACTCTTCAGAGGGTAATCGGTACTTTAAACATAAAATTGGGGGTGGGGTGTTCCCGACCTCTCTGACCCTTTCTTGGATCCCCCAGAATTTCTTTTTTCAGGCTGTCCCAGGAAGGGCAATCGAATCGAGATCGTGCTAGATGTCAACGAAACCAGTTAATGCAATTGACCACGACAGAAAATGCCATAACATACCATAATAATCTTTGTTGGTTACTCCAAAATTTTGCATAAGCATTGTTTTCAGTTTCTCTTAGGGCCATTCTAACTCCCAAGAGAAACTAAAGACAATGCTTATGCAAAGCTTTGGAGTGACCCACAAAGAGTATTGTGCTATGTTATGACATTTTCTGTAGTTGTCAATACACATGGCTTTCTAAAAATGAGAAGGACTATACAGTAATTTCAACAAGGAAATTATGCCGTGTTATTTTGTTTGCTGGGATAAACGTAGTATTTACTAACACTTTCAGCAATTCGAATATTGGAAAAAAGGAGATAAACAAAACAGTCAGTATTATTCACTTTTAATTTAAACCGCTAATTCAAGAACTGTTCAGTCACGTAGCCATAGTCCAAGGGGATATTTCTGAGCTATGAGACAAACAATTTCTTTTACATTCAGCTGCGTAAAATCTCTCAAATTTCATCGTAAGTTATATGCTCTTGCCTTTCAGGGCGGTTAGCCAAATCAATGTCTATGTGGTAACGCATTCAACATTCCCATTATTGCATGTCAAAAGAACTGAGAGGCTGACTTCTATAAGCTTCTATACATAGAGGACCATGGTCAGTATGTTGATCCAGCAATGATTAAATTTTAATTATTAAGATTGGCCAATCTGAGATTATAGTTTCACAAAAATATTTATGTATGGCTGAGGTTGACAAAGTAGAGAACTATGAGCTTTCCAATTCTTACTCTAGAACTCTGGAGAAAAAATCGTTGGCTTTAGTTGGTTATAGGATTCACACAAATTAAATAAATAAACCTACAAACTAGAAGAATTTAATAATAAATGCCAAGTTTACACTTTCCGAGTTTGTAAAAAGCCCTTATTTGCCATATAAATGATTTGGTCTTGTTTTTGGAAACATGTTTAAATACGAAAACAGTGTTTTTGATTAAAAGCGATTTTCTTGGTTTATATAGCTAGTATTTTTTTCAGTTGCTCGATATAAAGGTGCTTGTCCAAGCGTATTCAGGTGCATTTTTTCCTCCTGATAACTGGACGTAAGACTTCAGCATAACTTGGTATGTGTGACATTTTAGTGTTGCAAACCTACCTTAGTGTTGGAGACGGGGAGGGGGATATCTTTGTAAAACTCACTCCGCTAGAATGCTATAAATTGCTCAAAGTAGTTTTCTTTTAAAATGACCCTATTTTTTCGGGATTTCTTTTGCCAGGCTAAAAAAACGTTCAAGTTTTCAGACGTTTTTCGAGTTCGCTCTAGAAACCCAAAGAAAGCGCAAAAAGCGCAAAAGCGTCTAGTGCGACTAATAACAAAAGCTCACTATCTAGCAAATACCGCCCCTTTATTTCGCCAGCTTAAGTGCCTGACATATTTAGTATTAATTCATTTTCTGTCGCTACCTTTATGTATTCTTATCTCCATAATCTTTTGCCTAATAGCTTTCATGACTTGTTCTTAAGTAGTAATCAAGTCCATCAATACGAAACTCGACTAGCCTCTCAGTATAGACCTCATTTTCATAAAACAAATATAAAGCAATTCAGTATCCTTTACCGAGGACCTAAAATCTGGAATTCGTTGCCTGTTTCACTAATTAGCTCTCCTTCCATATCAGTTTTAAAAAAATTTTAAAGAATTATCTCACTGATAGCCGAGCTGTCGTTTAATTTTCTGATCTTGCTCACTCTGCACTCAGCCATGAATTTAGTTCACTAGGTAGTTGAAGGAAGCCTATTAATATAAGCTTCAAGCTTCGTTAGGCTTCCTTGTCACATTAATTTTATAATTTATTTAACACGTTTTGTTCATGTTGTGTAAGGTTTTGTGAGTGACTAAATAAATAAATAAATAATAAATAAATAAATAAAAGACACGGTTTGCTGCAAAAATTATGAAATATACAGGAGACATACTTCTGCTGGTGACTTGGAGAGTAATAAACTGACTATTCCTCTTTAAAATGTTTAGCTATTTGGGAGCTTAAGCAACAACGACGGCTACGGCTACGAAAACGTCGCTTATTAAGAGAGGTCGCGCTACTTCAAAGTTTATCGCGCTTATTCCATCTCGTTCGGTTCGCCAAATGTTGGCAATTTTTTCTGGAGTTGAATTTTAAAGGACTGTATCGAAGTTCAGAAAAAGAAAAAGAAAGTCGTTGTCTTGTGTTCACGTTTTCCACAAAGGTGCAACGACGGCAAAGAAATGTACAGAAAAGCGTGATGCGCGTGCAAAGTAGTGCTTGTCTAAACCATTTTTTTTTTTTTGCGTTCTCGTTGCCGTTGCCGTTGTCGTTGCTGAAGCTCCCTAATTGCTTAATACTGAGAGGTTTAGAACACTAAAGATCGTATGTGTTGAAATGACATAAACATTAGCAGATGCTTTACCGCGATCCTTGTCGCACGTAGAAGAAGGCGTACCTTTTTCTTAGTTTCATACCTTATTTTTTTAAACTCTTCAGTTCGCCCGCTTTGTAACTCTGAATGAAGATGATGCTGACCATTCAGTTTGCCCACGTAGCAGTTATTCTGCTGCCCTGTTTCTGTCTGATATATGCAGCAGGCAACAGCAACGAAAAAGTAAGTGATATCAACCCTTATTCGTCAAGCTCACTCCTGTGCCAAAATGTTGAAAAACTGAAATTGTAATTGTTATCTAATTTTATTTTGTTTCACTTTAGACAGTAGCCTTCCCAGCTGTGGCGAAATAATCCGACTGTTTTTCTTTATGAGAGTGACTAGCCTGTTACTGTTATCGCGGCAGGTTTAACTCAGTCGGTAGAGCACTTGGCTGCCCCGAAAGCGGGATGTCGTGGGTTGTTCGGGGTACCCTGTACCTCCACTGTAGAAGCCTATTATTAGTCTGGGTTTTCCCCTTACGGGCAGATAGGCCTAGCAGAACCTTTGTGGATCATAAAGACAATCACGTTTATGAAACCTGAAATTAACGTCAGCACGTTTGACCCTCCGGGGAAGGACGATGAGTCCAACGATTGCCCAACGATGGCTTTCACGACCGTTTCACTGATCTATGCGTAAAACCAGCAGACACAAGCTCTAATTTCGAACTAATTCGTGTGAACAACTTTCAAGAAAACAGTTCAAAAACAATGTTAATCCAAGCGATAAACATTTTTTGTTAAGATTCTTTCCATAATTGTTAAAGTGCTACTACGACGAAAATTTTTGTTTTTGTTTCCGAGTTTTTTAACATAAATCTTTTGTATATGTTCAAAATTATACAAATAGCGAAAAATTGGAACGACACTTGCGTACGGGGGCTGGAAATTTCCCACTGAAAAGTGCGTAAATACCGTCCGCCATTACAAAGTTCGCAAAGCAATAGCCCGCGAGATCTCTGCAAAGCGGTCGTGCGTTTGACCACGTGATTTATGCACTGTGACGTAGAAACATCAACCAAAAGATTCGCATTTCAAGTGCCGTGATCTTTCCGCAATTGTCAAGACAAAGAATTCGGGTGTTATTACTTACAGTTGGGAAATCATAAGGGATGTTATAGCCTAGCTTTCTGCAAGAGTCAGTCCTGATTAAATTTCTGGTCGTTCAGTTTCCATACAGTGACAAATTACACATTAACTGACGTTGCGGCCTTCTTCTGGCGAAAGTCGAAGTAAGAAGTAAAACTTGAGTTGCTAATTTTTCCCTAAATTTTACATCACGTCGTCTCCATTCCTGCTGCCTTTGAATTAAAAAATCGGCAGACTCACGACTTGAAAACTGGGCCTTTTTGTTTCAGCAAAGATCAACCAATATTCCCTATTTTTCTTAAGCCTCTTTTATTGATTGAAATTTCCAGAGCTCTTCGTCAACCCATTGTGGAAGTGGCAGTTGCTGCGTTCCAGGTATCCCTGGCATACCGGGTTCACCGGGACCTCAAGGAAAAAATGGCCCAGCAGGTCCTCAAGGTCCCGCAGGTCGCGAAGGACCTGTGGGTCCTGCTGGTCCCAAGGGCGATCAAGGAGCCAGAGGCATCCAAGGTCCTCAAGGACCCTCAGGTGGTCTGCGCTGGAAGCAGTGTGTTTTCAATCACCTCAATGATGGAAAGGACGCTGGATTAATCGCGGTAAATTTAAATTTATTTGATATTTCGCCGGTTAATACTGAGTCCTGACTGAATTATTGACCCCAACTAGTGAACATCGCTTTTGGTTGCGAAAAAGAGCCCTTCAGATTCTAAGACGAGTACGACTACGAGTACGAGATTTTCTCAGTACTAAGTAGTGCACGCGCGTGAACCAGCGTCATTTTGGCGGGAAAATGTGGTAGCTGTCGTCACTCTGCTACGAGTTTTAGCGAGAATGTCGAAGTGGCGGAAACAAGTTATATATCCCGATCAAATGTTAGTAGTTTTATCATTTTGCGATTGGGAGAGGGTAACCTCCTTCACTAAAGGTAACAGTGCTAACTTTTCTAGTCAAAAATGGTAAAATGAAGCTTTCCAGGGAGTCTATATTTTGAGAATACGCAAAAAAGACTTTAAGTCAAATCTGGTATTCGTAGTCGTCCTCGTCCTTGAATCTAAAGGTCTATAATAAGTTTTTTGCATGAGCTCTCCCTCTGTGCGTATTTACTGATACCGCTTGCGCCCTAAATTCCAGCAGTTCTATTTTGAATGATCGAGGAGGTTAATCTTTTTCTTCATCTTTGTCGTATTAGTTGGACGTAAGTGCAGGTTTTTAAGAGAGTCTCTTCTTTTCTTTGAATACAATTTTCAGTTACTATAAAGTCTAATAGCACATGCCAAGAATGATGAGATGGTTAAGGACGGTTCTTTTGGGTTTAAACGGTAACTCACCTCTTAACTTTTCCCTTCCATTGAAATTATTTTCTGACGTTTTTAACCACCGAAGCCATGATTTTTAACAGGAGTAACAGGCTTCGATAAACGCTGACTAAAATCGCCCCTTTTACCTGCAGGTTTTGCTTTTTGAGACCTAGTGGTACAATATGAGTTTTTCCACGCAATATGTTTGGTGTATAGTCATAACATTGCATTCAGGTTAGATGCTATGACTTTTCGACAAACTTACTATAGCTCTTCATTTGCATATGCCAAGAGAGGTTCGTCGGATCGGGGTTTGGGGTGGGGCGGGGGAAGCTAGGATAAATTCACAGTTAAAAAGTTTTGCTAATGGCGGTTTTTCACGTTATTCTTTCTTCAAAAAATACCACAGCAATGTAACTTCAAGAAGTCGTCATCAACCACCAGCCTTCGTGTCTTCTGGAGTGGTGCACTTCGGATCCATAACTGCAACGGCTGCTGCATGCGTTGGTTTTTCACGTTCAATGATGCGGAGTGTTCAGCTCCTCTGCCGATCGAGGGTGTGGTCTACATGGCCACAGGTGCACACCCACATCCAGTTAAAGACTTGCACCGTGTTCGTCATATTGAGGGAGTCTGCAACAAGCACACCGCTGGAAACATAAGGATCGGCTTTCATGTCGGCAATTGCCGTGGAGTCAAAGGAGCTGATGCGTTCACAGGTTGGAATTCAGTATCCCGGATTTACGTAGAAGAGATCCCGGCACCGCAGTCCTAATTATAGTTACAAAAGGCGGTCACCTAGAGTTATCCGAGGTTGTATTCGCCTGAAGTCAAATTATCTTCTTCAGCAATATTATTTTGTTCTGCTGTAAACTGACAGGTTGTAACCTCTGAAAGATTAATAAAAGCAGCATTTATCCCGACATTCTTTCGACTTCTTTCTGAAGGTACATGGGGCCATTCGCAACGACGACACAGCGTTGCAAGTTTGGAACAATGTTGCTACCTTTCAAAACAATGTCGCAACAATGTTGTTATGTTGTGTGGCGCTAAAAATCGTGATTGCGAATACGCCCTTATGACATCACTGAAATCGCACTGGATCAGGAAAACAGCCAGACACTGGAAGCAAGAAAAAACCATGTATCGACATGTAAATTAAAGTACGACCTTTTTATTGAGAACTTTTGCAAAAAGCTATCTCATTACATTTCTAAATTCGTTATTTTTGCGGCCATTTTAAGATGCAATGTTGAACCACACGTAACTCCCTTAACTGTACTGAGCTTGGGTGTCCTGCGGTCCAATTTTATTGTTTCTGTGAAATGAAACCCGCTGGCCTAAAATAATTGTATTGTATTTCCCGCTACAGGTATCTAATTATTGTCTATGATAGATATCGTATGAATTACTTTCACTTTATACGTAGCGCGTGTTACTCTGTCTCCTAGTAATATTCAAATAACACGAAAATCAATAACGCTTGCGTGACTTGCGCTATTTTGCCAGCCTCTACATACCCCATCCCCATGCGTGACAGAGGTTGGATTCAACTACTCATCAATTTTCAAAATTTCTTAATCATTTTGTGACACTGGAGAGACGACTGTTCGCACATTTGATGTGTAGTAATCTCTTGCGCAATGAATCCATATTTCTTGTAAAATTCAACAGCATTGAGCGAAGAATGAACAACCATCGAGTCAACTTCACCAAGTTCTTTTGCTTTCTTCTCCAACTCTTTCAAAAGCGTAGAGCCTACGCCTTTTACCCCGCAGTCAGGGTCAACAAACAGGCCTCTAATCTGCATGGTTTTTCCATCAGTCTCTTTTGCATCACGCGTCAGGTGACCAAACCCAAGAATTTTCCCTTCCTCACCTTCGGCGACTAGGATCTCACTTGCTTGTATAAAAGGCAGATATCGTGCTTTGTCTTGTCTTGCGACCCAAATATCGACATCCTTTGCACTGTAATGAGTAGAGCACTTTGATCTAATCGCCGCAATGTGGATGTTGTAGATGTTTTCGGCGTCTGATTCGGTTGCTCTGCGAATTGTGAATTGATCTGCCATGTTGCCTCATCTCGGTTAACCCTCATCACGGGGGACACGCAACACAAGTCATGCAACTTAGCGCCCGCAATATCAAGCAGCGGTTAAAACATCCCAGGAATCACTTCGGGCTACAAATCAACATGGCCGACGACGACATACAGAACGTGCTTCGTGAAAACAACTAAGCTTTGAAGGCACTGTGAGAAACTTGCTATCGTTTTGTTTACAGAAAAAGATCCACGGGGTATTTATAAAGATTTTTTCACGTGCCCTTCCCTAGAAAGCAATAAGATGGCGGAGTTAACGACGTGGGTGTCTGACAAACTTCACGATGTTCTTGGATTTTCGGATAAGCCCACTGTTGAATATCTCATCGAGCTCGCGAAAAACGCCACCAGTCCAGATTCCCTTGTACAGCGAGTTTCAGAAAACTTTAGTTTTGATAATAAGATGGCATCATTTGCGTCTGAACTCTGGGAAAAATTGCCTCACAAAAGCCAACCTGCTGAACACCCATACAGGGCAAGGGAACGAGCTCTTGTTGAGCAGCGAGAGAAATACATGAAATACACTCTCGTATCTGATGATGACGACGACGAAGAGCTGCGCAATAAAGCTAAGGAATCGAAGAAAGATCGAAAAAGAAAGCATTTGCGAAGGAAAACAGAGTCTTCTAGTTCGGATGAGGAACCCTCCATAGTTAATACTGCCTCAAAGGAAAAGAGCGATGAATCTGATGTAGATGAGTGGGAAAAGGAGGAAGAAGAGAGAAAGGTAGACTTGGAAGAGAGAGATGCATTTGCAGATAGGTTAAAGAAACGGGACAAGGAAAAAACAAGGAATATTTTGGAAAGATCTGACAAAAAGGTATTGATACAATGGAACTTTTATTAAGTAGAAACCCAGAAGACTGTTAATTGCGTTTACTTGATAAAATCTGATGCTTGGTACAGGCCGGTTGGGTATTTTTGGTGAAGTATGAGACTACTTAAACAAATATTGTATTTAGTTAGCTTACACATGAAAGTTTAATTTTTCAGAATTACCTACTCAGGGAAAACTGAGTACTTACATTGTACAGGGTATAACCTCTTCTGTACGTTTGACACAGAAGACTTGATATACAGCCTTTGCAAGATCAGAGTGGTTGAGCATTTTATCAGGCCATCTGATATTACGCGATGGTGCGATTTCGCACAATTGACCTCAAATCGCATCCGATTGCACAATTTGAGGAAAATCACATAATTTCTAAAAAAATGCTAAATTCAAGTAAAGTAAACAATGAATTCTAACTTTAATGAAACATTTTCCCAATCTTAAGGTCATTTAAAGTGATTTACCACTAAACAAAGCCTTGCAAGACATCTGAAACCTTCAATCGATATCTGGGCAGCCATTTTGATTTTAGAGACAAGCAGTGTGGTCAGCAGTGTAACGGCATCATGTAATATTAAGCAAGTGTTCTTTTTCTTTTCTGTGTCAAAATAGTCGGACAAATTTAACTATTTTGTTTTAAAAGAGATGTTTTATTATTCCTTTACATTCAGATTGCCCGTTTAACAACATTAAAGTGGTTTTTCTCCATTGAAACCTGGTAAAACAATGTAAATTAGCCCTGAAAAAATCGCATAATTTACCGGATAATAGTCCTATCTTATCGCACAATCTACCCTGAAAATATCACACAATTTCTGATTTTTTATCACACTCTGTCAGATGGCCTGTTTTATACATGAGCCCCTGGCACCTGAGACTGGGCGACCACATCCCACATCATCAACAATATTATGAAATAAAGTTACGTACTTACTTATCAAGTTATAACTGCCATAAGAAGCACCCATGTTTGCCTTACTTAGTTAGTTAGTTAGTTACTTACTTACTTACTTAGGCTTGGGATCATCCTGAGCCATCCTAACAAAATCTTTCCACATGACCTGATCAAGCTGCCATTAAATTTGTTGTTTCTTTGGTATTGTCCAGTCCAGTGTCAGCTTTGTTGGTGTCAATATATGTAGTTCTTGGTCTACCTTGATTTGGGTGACCATGTTGGGGCTCTCAAGCAGCACTTTTGGGGTTCCCGAAGCAGCTCTTTTAAAGGTGTCTCTTCATTGTGACATGTAGAATGACCAGCTAATCCTAATGTTCTCTCACAAATTGTTTCACTGACTCTTGGAAAGCTTCTGTATAATTCCTGGTTGTTCATATGTTGATGCCAGTGCATATTCAGGGCCATTTGCAGTATTCCATGGTGTAGCATCCACTGACACTTGTCTCTGGCTTCTTGGCCCCGGTCCACAAAAATTATATCTCCAGTGTCTCGCTCTGTACGCTTCAAAAAGCTTACTTATATATGTAGATGTATGCGTTGTAGTTTATTTTTTATCTCGGGTAATTTTTATTTTCCCTTTGTTTCAACTTTATGAGTATACATAACCATACCCAAAACAAAAGAAAAACAAAAATTACCTGACATAATAATTTAACCACAACGTATGCAAAAAAGTAATCATTGATGTAAAGAATTTATATGTTTTGTAAGGGTTATAAAATAATGTATCCATGAGTGGTTTGCTTGGTGACAGCCATTGTACATGTAAATACCTGTATATTATTATATTTTTGCACCAACAGGGATTTGAAGAGGCAGCAAAAAGGCTTAAAATGGATGAAGAAGACAGGAAGAAAATGGTGAGCAAAAGAACCTCTTTCTGTCCAGTAAAAATGTTTAAAATTTGGAAATATCTGGGATGGCACTGCACTGAGCTTTTTGTAACCTGATTTTGTTACATATACACAGAAAGTGAGAAACACCCCCTAATTAGACGCGCGTGACCGCTCTTCCGGAAATGAGTAGCCGACAATAACAAAACAACCAAACAGTCGCTCCAGTCCAAAGACTCACACTGTCTTGACTGAGACACAATGCAATTCTCCACAGCTGATGAAGCTTCAGTTTAAGCTGCAATTCATTCTTCTAAATTCATCTCTGTAAATCGCTGTCCGTGAGAGTGAAACATCCTGCAAACAATTTAAAAAACTAACGAGCTGGGCCCAGCATGATACAACATTGCAGGAAAACATCACATTCTCGGACTAGAAAGAAAATCGCTTAGTTATTCAGATCCTGAGGCACTTTGGACAAAAATAAAGAACCTAACAGCCTTATTTAGTGACAAAAAGAGCTTTACGCTTCAAAAGAAGTTAAAGAAAACGCTCTTGCATCAGAGGGCAAATCATGAAGACCAGAAATTCAAAAAACCACAGAAAATCAATAAGCGTGTCATGACCTCTCAGTGTGAAACAAGCGGCTAAAATCACATTTGCTCAGTCAAAACATCGAACCCCCTAGAGCATAATCTACTCACCAGCAAAAAAAAACGTATTGGAACAAGCAGCATTTTGGCATGAGTTAAAAGTGGTGTAGGTTTTAGTACTGCAAGCAAATCTTGTCCTGATGATCAGTGTAGAAATCGCTTTGACTTTCTCACTGCGTAATACAGGCAACATTCCCAGCCGCTCCAATTCCAAAAGACTGACGGAAACGGAATAAACAATATAGACTTGCAGTTAATTGACAGGCATCAATCTGCTTCCCTATGCTGCATCAATCAGGAGCTCCGTTTGCCAGCGTACGGAGTTTCCCAAAAGAACAATGCTATCGGGCAGGCGTATTTGTTTTTCTCCCTTTCCCCTTCCCCCTTTCCTTCTTTCGCCCTCGCACCCACCATAAGGGTTACTATTTCTACTCTCCCCAATCTTCCACTGTCATAAAGTCAAAGATGGCGGCTACAACAATATTACGAACACGAACAAGGTTTCGCCCACCCAAAATACGCCTGCACTGCAGGCTAGAGTACATGCTATTATTGGCCTTTTAAAAGAAGCCATTGTTGGTTTGCCAAGCAGAATGAAATGAAATTCGAAAGACATTTCCGGTAATTCATTGAGATGTTAGGAGCCCAGGACAAGGGTCTCGGCACTACCTTGCAGACATTACTGACCTGGACATAAGTGACTAATGGGGTTAATTTACATCAGTTTGTGACGCAGGCTACATGTAATAATGTCTTGACACAGAAAGCGGGTTGAAGGGACAGGTATTTGAAAATCAGAGGAAGCAAGGCCATTGAGAATTTGATGAACCTTCAGTAACGAAATTCCTTCAATAAAGACATTCCCCATATTTAAAAAAAAATAGATAATAAGAAGGATGCAGTTTTCAGCCCTCTTTCACAGTTACAGAATAGTTTATGTTATAAGCATAAAATAGTCTTAATCACAAATTGCTTTTAAAAAAAAAAAAAAAACAAAAAACTGCTTTCTTGCTTTTTTGTCATAAGTGTTATTTTAGAACAAAGTTTGGAAGTGAAGTCTTCACTTAGTTTTATTAATTTTTTTCCAGATTCCTGATCTTAGGAAAAAGTCTCGCAGAGATTATGTCAAGAAACGAAGAGTTGACCAGCTTGAAATGCTGCAAGAAGACATCCTCGATGATGAGTATCTGTTTGAAGATGCCCAGCTCAGCAAACGGGAGAAGCGAGACATAGAATACAAGAAGAAGGTTTACAGCTTGGCAGTGGAACATGCTAAGGCCGGAGAACTAGAAAAAGTACAGAGGTATGAAATGCCCCAGGAGAATAAGAAACCGGCCAAGTATGACGACACAACATTGGAAGAATTGGGACCTAATTATGAGCAGAAGAAATGGGAAGACGATAAGCTTGGTTATGCTGTCATGAAGTTTGGTGCAAAAGATGCAAAGCAAAAGAGCAAGGTATGATCATAATACAGTCTAAAAGCAAGCTGAGTGGAAGGGTAGGGTACATGAGTATGAAACTGAAAACAGGGTTTGCAAATTTTATTGATGAGTGGAGTCAGTGTGACTTCTGCTTCACAAATTTTAGAGTCATTTTGGAATATTTGGAGTCAAGTATCACAACGACAAAAGCCATTTTCAGACTTTCCAGTACGTGGCCCTGGCACGTATACACTATCGTGAGGGATACACAAGGTAGCTGTGGCGGTCCGCTGACCTGGAAAGCTCAAATCCATGATGGCGGTCATGGAGTAAACTTTGATCGTAATTTACCCTCTTCCTGTTTTGTTGTGCAGAATAATTCTTTAATTTCGTGATTTAATTGAGGTTTACAATGTTTACAAATTAAATTGTATTTGTTGTGAAAAAGGTAAGGACAAAACTGTGTTTGTTACCGAAAATTTCTGGAGTCGAAGTGACTCCCTCTGTAACCTCAGTGGAGTCATCTGAACAATTTTGGTGTAAAATACGCCAAATTTGGCGTATTTGCGAACCCTGCTGAAAGTATAAAAAATAATGATTTATGAAGTGAAATACATGTTCAGATGAGCATTTCCTCTGTTTTGTGGTGCGTTGTCTTATTTCCAAAGATACGATGTACTAAGCTTCCTTCCATCCCTGCGTCTTTTCATACAGTAGTAATGAGGTAGTTGACTGTGAGCTAGTAAGTGAAAAAAGGTAGAATAACAGGAAAAGAAAGGGATGGTCTGCTTTCTGCTTCTTTTTCCCTTTTTGTGGCTTGATTGTTGTACTTGACAATTAATCTAAGCTTAATATTTTATACATCATGGATAGAGACACAATTTCCACTTTCTGTTCTGTTTTTATTGACTCTTTAGTTGTCTCTGCTTCACACAAAGCAGGTGGCCCTGTGATTTCCTGCCAAAAAAAACCCTTGAGTTGCATTTGAGTTGCCATACCTGTTGATAGAGTTACTTTACATTTGTATGCCTGTGGTACGGACTGATGGGTGGGTGGATGGACAATTGTATGGTCAAGTGAAAGTGACTACAAATAACTGCCAAAATTTCATGGATTCATACAGTGATTTTGTTACAAATAGTTATGGTGTGTCCTTGGACTCATCTTGTGAAAAATCATGAGTCCCAGTTAAAAAAAAAAGAGTCCGAAATTGAAAATGGTTGGGTCTTAATGTAACCAGACAGTTAATCTGAAGACAAACTCCCAAACTCTTTATTACAGTATACTGAAATTAAAATGTAGTTCTTCTATAAAGGCTAAAAGAAATATGCAACGTTAAACAATCGCCATAATAACTGCTACAGAAATTACGTGAACAGGATATTGCTACAAAAACACATGTTCAGATTGATTGATTGATCGATGTTTGGGTCCTACAAGATGCATGCTGTGAATTATTTTGCGTATTTGGGGATTTTCATGTGTCAGGGAAGCGGGACGCAGGACGCATACATTTAGGTACAGATAACAAAATCTGCTGCACGCACTTCGCATTCATGAGAGCTCCGCTATTATTATTTATCATGGTAAATAATTATTATTGACATAGAATTACATGTATTTTATTTCTTTTTCAAACTGCATTTTAGAGTAAAGACTATGACCTAGTTGTTGATGAGGACCAAATAAATTTTGTAATGGCTGAACAAATCCCAGGAACTAAGGAAAAGCAGGTATTTTGTCTTCTTAGAAGTAATATTATGAGCTCTTATGACTGTGATGCTCCAGGCATTTAATCAGACATGCTTTTGCATCATTCTTTATTAATTTTCATATACAGCTGTAGCCAGCGAGAAAGCTCTCCTGGGGACCCTGCCCCAAGAAATCCCAGGATCAGAGCTTGCTTGTCAGTTATATTTTATAGAGTAACAAATTAACATGTTTTCCATTTCCCCACCTTATGACAGCCTTGCGTATGGCTTTCAAGTTGTATTGAATGTCCTTTGATCTGCTGTTTTTCTGGATATGTTTTTTTCATTTTGTTTTGCTCATTTTGCAAAGGTCTGCAGCTGTTACAGTTTGTTGCTTCTATCGTCTTCTCATTTTCTTTTTTTTCTCATTCAACACCATGATAAAAAGATTTTTTGTTCTTCTTTGCAGGAACCAGAGATGAATGAGTTTCAGAAGAAGAGGTTGACAATTGAAGAGGTAAGTTGTTGCATGTGAGGCTCATGCAAAACCAAAACGGTAAATTCTACATACTCAATAATGTCTGCTTTATTATTGGTACCAGATGCATGTACATGTGTATGTTTGACTGTATGAAGTGAGCTGATTGGAGATGTATTACTATCGGCAATATTTACTCCTGTATTAATGTTGTTTCTTTCAATACAATATTATTTGTTGCTTTTTTATAGACAAAGAAGAGCTTACCAGTTTATCCTTACAGAGATGATCTCATCCAAGCAATAAGAGACCATCAGGTACTGATTACTGGTCATGGGAGATTTTACTGAGAGTCATTTAAGACTGGCAACCCTTTGTATGCATGGGGAATACTGGGTAGTCTAAGCCTGTAGAACCTGTATGATACACTGTACTTATCTTACTTATTGACTGTTTATGCTGTAATAAACAGTTACTATCAATACTACTTTGTAGGTGATAATAATTGAGGGAGAAACTGGATCTGGAAAAACCACTCAGATTCCGCAATACTTGCATGAAGCGGTATGTACACTGTACTTAATTTGTAACTACATTTTTGAACCCTCATGCAATATTCCAGAAACTTTTAATGTTATGGTTTGTTAATTACATATTATGTAGCAGTAGAAAATGTTTTCTGTGTTTGCATAGCCTGTAATGCAATATGGTGTGTGGAGTTTTTGGGTCTTTCGGGCCAACTCGAGACAAAATTGAGTGTTTGCATAACTTGTGAGAATTCTCCCAACCCCTGGATTGTTTGTATAAGGCTATGCAAAAACAGCAGATGGTTTTCTATTCCTCTTACAAAATATCTTTTTTGAAGAAAAATAAAAAAATTCTTCGTTACCGGCACTGATAAAAAGATAAAGTCTTAGGTCCCAAAATGTGGCAATCAAAGTTATGCTCTCGTATCAGTTCTGGTTTTGCAAAAAAGATTGCATTAAAATACTGATTTTTCTTGCTTAAAATGTCAGCTTAAGTGAAAAGACTTTGATACAGCATGTAAAGATTTTTCGAATTTCAAATTTCAAAGGAATGTGTAAATGTTGTGGATCTCTAAGCTTAAAACGCCGTTTAACCCTTTAAGTCCCAATAGTGACCAACAGCAATTTTCTCTTAACAATGTCCATACATTGTCAAGAGATAAGGTTGTGAGAAAAGAGAAAATGCCTTGAAAATGCCTTGACGTTTTATTAAATTCTCTCAACTAATTCTCAAAGGAAATGTACGGAGATCAGTTTGGAGAATTTGTATGTGGATACTGGGGCTTAAAGGGTTAAAGTTGTTGTTGCATGATCAGCGCTAGTACGGCTAACAGGGGGGGTGTGCAGCTGTCTATATAGGGTCCCTGTTTTGTCCCTCTGATGTCCCTTAAGTTAAAGTTAATAAGACGTTGCATTTTGTTGATTTATATTTCATAAATTTTTAGGGTTTCACAAAAAACAAGATGAAAATTGGCTGCACACAGCCTCGGCGAGTCGCGGCAATGAGTGTAGCGGCAAGAGTGTCAGAAGAGATGGGGACAAAACTAGGAAATGAGGCGAGTGCTGAAAAAATTAAACCTATAAATGTGCTAATCTGCTCCATCAAGTATCAGTTGTTCTTTAGCAATACATATCAAATACGCGGATATAAATGTACCATGTATAAGAAGGTGATTTGAACTTTTACCTGTATTTCAACACTTCAATAATTATTAATCAGTAATTATTAATTACACTGTATTTGCAAATGCAGAAAAATGTGACTGTGCTATCTGTCCTGAAAGCTGTTCAGTTGTTGTTACTATTGTTTTAATGAACTGTATCCTGTTGCTATCAACTTTCTTGAAGCCTTACTCTCTTTACATTGAGAAACTTATAATATTAATACGTATTTTCTTTATTACTTTGCTTCGGACTGACATTGCTCCTAGGAATCATGCCCTGTGCGTGCAGTCAACTGATTGGTCAGTTATCTGCCAGTACATAACTACCTCAGAAATCTGTAAGATGCGCTGATTTCCACAATTAACTGTAGGATCTTAGCAAATGAGAAGACAGGTAGCAAGTACACTGTACAGTGCATAATAAGTGATATTATGTTATTCACGTGTGTATCCTCAGGTTGGGTATAGTATACGATTCGAGGATTGTTGCTCAGAGCGTACGATAATAAAGGTGAGACATTAACCACCCCTACCTACGTAAAGGGGAGCATAAACAGCCACTAAGGCGACGAAAAAAAACACTAAAGCCCAGTAGTCTCCCTCGCAGCCGTTTTTTGGAATGTCACGCAACGTTTCCCCCAACGTTGCGTGACATTCCAAAATACGGCTGCGAGGCAGGCTATAAAGCCCCATTGATATTGGAGAAAAGTTGTTTCAGGTGGCAGGGTCACCCGCCTACCCGAGCTACCCTGGGTGAGCCAGCTTTTCATATACCGTGTGGCACGAAATTTTTGCGGGTTCTACTTTTCAGTGACTTTTTGCGATTTTGGGGGTTTCTCTTGCGATCCGCAAAAATAAGTTCCCGCAAATATTCATTTTTCCCGCAAACATTTACTCCAGAGTAAATATTCTCTACACAAAAATACATTGCTAAGAAATCGTGTCTGTTCAATCACAACTTGTCTCGTTTATTCAGAAACAACGAAATACTGGCTTATTGCTTGAAAATATGTTTTTCTATTGAACGTACTGAATAAAAACGAAAATAATACAATGCTGGGTACTGGGTACTTTCTGAAAATTGCAAAAATTAATTCCCCGCAAGAAAAACCAATCTGTTCTAATCGCAAAAATTAGTTCCCGCAAAACACCAAAAATCGCACGTCCGCAAAAATAAACTGTTACTCCCGCAAAAATTTCTTGCCACACGGTATTCCCTTACGAAACGTGGCGAACCGTTTACATGAGAAACCAAAAGTTGGCTTGCCTAAAACGGTGACCCGCTTAGCCGATGTACCTGTAGGTTCACCCTCCTACAGCTTTAGTCGGTCCATCGCTTCTCCATTATAAGCACCTTGGCTTTCATAACTGAGCCGCATGCGAGCGCTGTTGGCTCGAGCAAAGTGGTCTGGGAGGGTGAGCCTTCTACCCAGGGCAGGTTTTCTTGGATTATTATACGTTTTTGGGAAACTACCCACCTACCCCTCCCCTAAGCCAACTTTAACACTTACTTCCCACTTTGGGCAAAATGTTGGCTTAAGGGCAAAATCTTGGCTTAGGGAGGAGAAGGTGGGCAGTTTCCCAGAAACGTATCCCTATGTAAATAGCCCTATGTAAATGGGGTCTAAGCTTACTGGCAAAGCAGAAACTTGTCACGTGCATAACACGTGCACTAAAACGTTATGCTCCTGTTCTCAGTCTTGCCGTCGCTGCACAAACACGAGGTGAAATTTATTTATGCGACTTTTATATTGCATGGAGGTCAGAAACATATGACGACGTTTTCTTTCTCTTTCTCGACTTGCATGCGTTGCTTGAACCTTATTGTGAGATAAGTTGACGGTTCTTCCCTCCTCGTTTACAGTACATGACGGATGGAATGCTTTTGCGTGAGTTCTTGGGTGAACCTGATCTTGCAGGCTACAGGTACGTTTAACAAACTTTTCAATGTCTTCAGAAGGAAAGGCTTGTTTTTGCCCCAAATATCATCGATTGCAGTTCCTGCGTAGAGTTAAAACTTGCACTGCTTGCCACATTCCAAATCAGTGTTCCGCATATACAATGTTTGGACAGTATATCTTCAAGTCTGAGAACTGAATTTTTGCGAGGCTATCGTTTCCGATTCTTATATAATGGTGTAGGGTGCGTAGTTTAAGAAAACATAGAGCTGTGGGTTTTGGCTTCAGTTTGTTGCAACTAGTTTTTGTCGTATATGTTGTTTATGGCTGATTGATTACGTTTGCTTTTGGACCCAATTAAAAAATTCTTGTTTTTCAGTGTTCTTATCATCGACGAAGCACATGAACGTACACTGCACACTGACGTGTTATTTGGTTTAGTGAAGGACATTTCCCGCTTTAGACCAGATCTGAAGCTTCTGATATCCAGTGCGACGTTAGATGCAGACAAGTTCTCCCAGGTAAGGTCTCGAGCGTTTTCTTAAACCTTTTCCTCGCTTGCTGCGCTTTTCAAAAACACGCGAACTCTGAAGTTCAAAAGCCACCTTCGCAATTACGTTTTTCGCTGCCGTCAATCATAATTACGATCACAAGCAACGAACCTTGAAACACAGAAACACACATAATAGATCGAAATTCACCAATCACAAATCACAAATCATGATCTGTTCCTGTTGTCCTTCAGCAGCATAATTGAAAATATAAAACTGTTCTAGCGAGGCCTTAAACTGAACTCGTTGATGTAAACTTCTGTTTCCTAAGAGGTTCGCTAAGGTGATTGATGGCAGCAAAAAACGCAAACGTCAGTTGGCTTTTGAACTTCAAAATTCGCGTGTTTATGAAAAGCAAAGTATAACGGTAATCAAAGTTAAATTTAAGAGACGTCCTAAATTTTTACTGTGTAAAATGCCGAAAAACAAATAGTACCATTTGAAAGTTCTTTGAAAGAGGTTTCATATGAATGGTAATACCGTTGAATTTTAGACTTTCATAGACTCAAAAGTTAGAACCACCTTACTAGTCACAGGTGATGTTACACAGGACGATTTGCAACGACGATATTAAACGCAACACATCATTTCAACATTGTTACGACATTGTTTTGAATGGTTGCAACATTTTTCCAACATTGCAGCGCTGTGTTGTGCTAAGAATCGTCGTCGCGAATCGTCTCGTGTAACATCACCTTTCGAGACTCCATCATTCACTCTGGCAGTGATCAGAGTTAAGGTGGCTTCATGGTCTTCCAACTGCCTGACTACCAATTCTTAACCTTGAAGAAATACACTTGAACATGATTTTCCCGAAACATCATCGTTACATGCAAACTAGCAATATATTGAAGTTTGATTTGCAGTTAGGTTTTTGAAGCTTGGAGTGTCCTTAGCAACGCGACGTTCCCATGGAAAGCTTTTGTTATTTGGTATAAAACGTCATTTTTGTGCTTTATTCCACCGCCAATGGTGCGACATATTTCCCTTTATAGAAGCCACACCTTTTCTTTCAAAATTGTGGTAGCATGTATTGGTCGCACAATAGTCCTAAAGGAACCTACATAGCCTGCGTAGCAGGCGCTTGGAAGTAATGCGCGCTGCACCCGTTCTCTCTTACGCCCATTACTTCCAAGCGCGTGCTACGCATTAGTAACACAAAGCGCGTGATACAGAATAGTAACGCAAAGCTTTAGTGGAACGCGCTACATGTAAATGTACCCACACATATATCGCGATCCTATGACCAGAGAAGTGTAAAAACTGTCGAATCCCTCTGAGTTGTTTCATTTTCTTTGACTTTCAGTTTTTTGACGACGCGCCCATCTTTAGAATTCCCGGCCGAAGATTCCCCGTGAACATCTACTACACTAAAGTAAGTCGCAAAATGTATTTTTTTCACAAACCAAGAGGCGGTTTTATCAACTGAGTTTTAGGGTAGATTGGCTACTGTAGCCAGATGGAGTAGCTCACGTTTGCGAAATGAAAGCCCTGTACCTTCCTGTTCATATAATGTCAGCATTATATTTTTCATGAGCTTAGTTTAGAATTTGTTGTTTACTGGATCAATGATTGTTACCGCAGTTGTTGCAAATACAAAAATTTTCTTCCCCTGTGTAGATAGACCCCAGGACACAAAACCCTCCTCTGCAAGCAGAGGTCTGCAAGAGGAGAAATGTGTTACTATTTTGTTTCTGATTGAGTCACCTATTCTGGCTCTATCTTGGTCAGTATTGGCCCAATTGATACCAGGCTTGGAATTGTGTGAAGCTCGGTTTGCTCTTTCTGACTATTTTGGTCTAGTGTTGATAATCCTATAACACGCAAACTCGTACCCAGTCCCCCACGATGTGAAAATCGACAATGCCACAATAATATATCTTATTGTCTCAAAACACCTTAACATGTAGTAAGTATGGCAAACTCTTTCAAACTTTCAGATGAGAGCGTACAGATATCATCAGACAGGGCTGTGAAATTTTTCCATGAGTGTACCTTTTTCTGGCCGTATTTCCAGCAGTTTTTAGCCGTGTTCTGCTCTCAACAATATTCCAAACTACTCGGAGATTTTGGCGGTTATGGTGACTAGCTTGTTAACAACTTCTTAACTGAACTTTCCCCAGGCTCCTGAAGCTGATTACTTGGAAGCTGCTGTGGTAACTGTGTTACAAATTCACGTGACCCAGCCACCGGGTGACATCCTGGTGTTTTTAACTGGCCAAGAAGAAATCGAAGCTTCTCAGGAGCTATTGCAGGAGAGGACACGCAAGCTGGGATCCAAGATCAATGAGCTCATCATTTTGCCCATCTATGCCAACCTGCCGTCGGATTTGCAAGCCAAGATATTTGAGCCCACCCCTCCTGGGGCCAGAAAGGTTAGACAAACTGCGTGGTAGGTTTCTTAGAGTAAAGCAAATACACAATTTAGTAGAGACAAGTTGACGTGATTATTTTAAGTGAGTTGGCAAAAGAAAAAAACGGGGAACAAAGGATCGAAATACAAACTATTATTTTGACAATTTTCAAAACACCCGGTCAATCTGAGGAAATGTTTAAAAGCTGAGGTTGCCTTACGCGTCTTAATCATGTTAATTCCTTCGGCCCGTTTCTCCACTGACTTTCCGGAGAGCTGTGTGAGATGTTTATTTTAAATATTCCAGTTTTACTGGTGTTGAAAATTTATGCGATAACATGCAAAGTAACCGAAACAAATTGGATAGGTGTATGAGCTAAATCTTACTTTACCATGATCCAGCGTTGTTTAAAAACAAGGACACAAAAACTTAAGTCCCGGATTACTCGTGACCATTTATCCTCCAATACAGACATGCTTTTGTTTCGTCACGCAGTCCACCTCAAATCAACAAAGGCGAGTGACAGTTAATGGGCCAAAAGAACGCAGTCCGCCTCATATTGACGAGGGAGGAGGTGTGGAGGGGGGGTGGGGGGGCGGGGTTGGAAGAGCGCGTGATGAACCAGAAGAATGCCGTCGTAGGACGGGGATACCTATTTAGCGTTTAAATTTGTATAATTTATTGTTAAATCTTTCGAGTTGGTTTCTAGAGTGTTTTTCGTTTACTTTTATCAGGTTGTACTTGCCACTAATATTGCCGAGACCTCTTTGACTATTGATGGCATCATCTACGTTATTGATCCAGGGTTTTGTAAACAGAAGAGTTACAACCCTCGCACAGGAATGGAATCACTATTGGTCACACCCATCTCTAAAGTAAGATCTCCTCTGAAACAGTCTTGTTTATTTTGATCTCTTGAAATAATTTGTGAACGCAACCAACGCAACCATAGGATGCTCGAGTCGCGAAACAGGCCAGTGGAATCTTGCTTTTAAATCACAACACGAGCAAGCAAGTCAAGGAGTCAACTTGTACTGCAATCAGTAGGCATTAAGAATATAAACTAAAAGTTACTATAAATATTGACGGCACTTGCCTGTTAGTTTTGTAGGGGCATATTGCCTCTACATCCCCTTGTTCCTAAAGCGCCATACGATAAAATAACTTCAAAGGAGGAGTTTTCAACAAAGCGAGGCAGTAGGGTAACCTACAACTTTGCAAGTTATGTCTTGTGTAATCAGTTTAGTGGAAGCGTGATGGCCGAGAGGTTAAGACCTCTAACTTCGGATCTATAGCCCCGGATTTTAAACGCTCGTCGGAAAATTCAAATTAAACCCCTAAGAGAGACCAATGTGGGTGTGGCTCAAGCTTAAACTGACCCCTAAGGGAGATTTCTGTGAGGTCAAGGTCAGGGCAGTTTTTGTGAATTTCTTTCTGCACAGTACTAAGCGAGACCTGAATGGGCAATTATAGTGACTTTCCATACCAAAAACCCTAGGTGAGACCAAAATCTGCAATTTATACCCCAAAGAGAGACGACGAGCATCTACGTCACTTTTATATGGGAGTTCCCCCGGGATATCTGCTGGGGGTAACTAGGCGATTGACCAGCATGCTATCCGGGGGTAGTAGCACAGTGCTTTCAGGTGATCCATGCTCCAACCACCGGTATAAGGTCACGACTTAGAAACGCCTTTCCCTTTTACCCATATTTGAAAAATGTTCTGGTTGATTTATGTCCAGTGTGGAATGTTCGTCTCCTCAGGCATCAGCCAATCAGCGTGCAGGACGTGCTGGTCGCGTGGCAGCAGGCAAATGTTTTAGGATGTACACAGCGTGGGCGTACAAGAACGAGCTGGAAGACAACACTATTCCTGAGGTAACTACGATTTACTTGTCCACTTTTTTAAACCAGTGTGGTGGCAAAAGCATGTTGTAGCCTTTGTGACAAGCGCAAGGGTAGCGCATGGCGCCGTGTGATTAGAGAGTATAGTTTGTGTGTGTGTGTGTGTGTGTATGTGTGTTGTGTTGTTTTGTTCTTTGTTGTCGGAATTCTTCCGCCGTTTGTCGTGGATTTTGTCTGTTGTTTGCTACTTGCAATTCCAACGCGTGGAAGGCTCTCTCCCACCATCAGACACACACTCTCACTCAGTCTGCCGAGTTAAACTCCAAAGGAAGTAACTACATTACACAACCAAATAACGAGCTGATCATAGAAGATGGGGGCCACCTAGCCTTCGATCAAGGCTTGAGGGACAGCCTTTGGGAAGGGGAAGGGGGGGATAAAAGAGTCTTCCCTTTCCTTTCCAAACCAACTCCTTCCCCTTCTCCAGTGGATCCACCTTCATTGCTTTGGCCAAACTTGGTTCCCAATAACGTCACGTTCACCCGTTCACCTGTGGAAGAGGCTGCCAGTATTTAACATATGGAGAAATACTATTTGCATGGAGCTCTACGCACTATCCCGTTCGTCTACCATGTTTCCAAGAACTATTATCCGAGAGTGGTCATCAAAAAGTTTTATATTTCATTTCATTTTGCCTTCTGTAGATCCAAAGAACAAATTTAGGGAACGTGGTTCTTCTTCTCAAGAGTCTGGGTATCAACGATTTGATTCATTTCGATTTCATGGATCCCCCTCCAGCGGAAACTTTGATCATTGCCCTTGAACAGCTCTATGCATTGGGGGCACTGAATCATCACGGAGAACTTACCAAGGTAAGTAATAAACCACTTTCCTTAGGTGTTCGAAACTGTTATTAAGCCCATCACTCTTTTTTAAGAAATGGACAAAGTGACACAGATGGGTATCTTAAACATAGAAATGAAAGCGCGTTATCAGTTTCAAGGAGCGTTTGCCACTTAAGAAACGAGAGGGAGAATGGGTCGAGTTAACTTTTGCAATGAATTCTGGGACTGTTGCTAGGGACAGGGAAAAAATGGCCAATAGCTGATCGGCGCGTCCCCAGTAGCGATCCCAGAGACAATTGTGGGACGCTTTTCGGCTCGAGTTCCCATCTCATTTCTAAAGTGGCGAATAGTAGAATGATCTACTCAGAAAAAAAAGAGTGATTCAATTTTCTCTGCAGTCGTGAAGGATTTTCACCGCTTTTCAGATTAACAGCTTAGCTGGTCATCAGGTTGTTACTTTCAAAGCAATTTTTTGTGCATATGGTGACAGAAGATCCATCAGGGCGGCATTTCGTGCATACGTGTAAAGCAAATTGTGTGGTTTTTAATAATCATTTACCGTTTTCTTTCTTTGTAGCTCGGTCGTCGCATGGCAGAGTTTCCTGTGGAACCAATGATGTCAAAAATGCTGATAGCGTCTGAAAAGTACGCAAAAGAAAGTACTTTTGACAGATTCCCTCACTTTTTTTTCTTTTCCTGAAAGCAGAATAAGCTTTTTAATCTGAGCTTTTCAATAAAGAGTATATCAAGCATACATCACGAAAACGTATCGAAAAACAGAGAATGAAAAAAGTGGTGAGTCTCGCGAGACACGTTCCAGACCTTCCTGCGTTTGATGAGTTTTCTTCCAACGCAAAGATATGCCTATTTCGCAGTGTGCCAGACATTAAGAAGTGGGTCGGTTGGAATAACGTTGCCTAGTCGAGCTTGCCAAACCCAGTTCGAAGTTTTGCGTAGTTGACGAAATATTGTTGGAGTGTGTGATATAGTTTCCTACAAAAGAAATGCCGAAAAAGATAATTGTATTCTAAGTAAGAAATATGACGTATTAGGAAACCCTAAGAAGCAGTTCCTTCACACATCTGCCTCCAATTTGATTTGTAGATACAAGTGCGTAGAGCAGATTCTCACCATCACCGCCATGTTATCCGTCAACAACGCCATCTTCTATCGTCCTAAAGACAAAGTCGTGCACGCGGACACCGCGCGTGTGAATTTCTTCCGTCCCGGCGGGGACCACCTGACCCTTTTGAATGTTTATGATCAGTGGGCAGAGACAGATTACTCAACTCAGTGGTGTTATGAAAACTTTATTCAGCATCGTTCTATGAAGAGAGCCCGCGATGTTCGTGAGCAGCTGGAAGGACTGATGGAGAGAGTGGAGATTGAGATATCTTCTAATCCGAATGATTCAGTGCCGATTAGAAAGGTAACTGCTTCCTTTGGCCGGATTAAGATATTAGGGAGCTTAAGCAGCGACGTTTTTGAGCGACGCACGTCAACCGGAAGTGAGGTATTTCCCCTCTTAACATGCCTTGATGATATAAAATTTGTATTCCTTAGCTTGTTTACTGTTATACAGGCAATTTGACTGAAAATTTGCGCGAAACCACCGTCAAAAAATGAAAAAAGGCCACTTCCGGTTGACGTGCGTCGCTCAAAAACGTTGTTGCTTAAGCTCCCTATTAATAAATAGCAACGTTTCTGCGCAAAAACATATGGCAGATTTAGCAGTAACCACGAAACGTCAAATGATAACGCGAAGTGCATGGTAAGGACTGAACGCGACTTCCGGTGCTTTATGTTCTGCTCTGCTATTGGTTTATACGAATTTTAAACCTGGGCGCGCCGCTTGCGCGCCAGCGTTGCTCTCGTGACGTTCTCTTTTGCTTAATCTGCCTATTGTCACATGTCGAGGAGAGTTAACTTTAACATTGTGAGACAGGCTCTTTCAATTTCGTAAAAAATCTCGCTAGTGCCTTTTTTTGTCATTTTGTTTTTACCCACTAGCATTTTAATTTCCTCGCTACCTACAAAATGGAAATAGCAAAGGCTAGTCAAGGCGGGTAGTGGCTACCGTTCATCCACTCTTCTTATATGATGATGGACTTAATTATCTACACCCAGAGTTGGTCCTCGGCGGCACTCACAAAGCCTACTGTCTGTGTGACTGTCTGAAGCATCCGTTCGCCCTACATTGTGCATTGGGCAATTTGCCCCGGGAGTTTGCTCCCAAATATTTAACCGGTTAAATATCGTGGAGCATTTTGCGGGGTGGAAATTCTGCTCCCGAGGATGAAGTATACCCATGAAATAGTTGGTACACACGGAGAAGCTTTGCTCCCGGAGCGTGCCCCTGGAGCATGCTCCAGGAGCAAAATCCCTCGTGTGTATCGGCCTTTAGGGTGGTGTTCGTCTTGTCGCGATACTCACGCTGAAGTCACCTAGTGATATTAATGTGCCAACCAGAAGGGCATTAGTTCTTGAAACCAAAGATTCGTTTTTTTCACTCGTTACAAGTTCGAGTAACAAAAACAATGTTTGTAAACGTTGATGTCTCCTATAGGGTTGTCCATTAAAGGAGTTGACTATCATTATTGCTGAGATTTTACACTGACTTACTTGTTGTTGGTTTACAGGCCATTACCGCAGGATACTTTTACCATACGGCAAGACTGGGTAGGAGTGGCCAGTACAGGACAGTGAAACATCAGCAGGTTGGTGGATTAAACTCCATTCATCATAATACAAAGTCTTTTCTACTCTCTTGACATTTTGCATAAATTAATTGGTGGGGGGGATGTCTATAGAATAAAAATTTTTATGACCTCTGTGCTTCGCACGATAGATGTATACGATTCCATGATTTCATGATATATGTTTTGTTTCTTTTCTTTTCTTTTTTTCCTTTGCTTTTTAGACAGTCCAGATTCACCCGAACAGCAGCTTGTTCCAAGAGCAGCCAAGATGGGTGATCTACCACGAGCTCGTGTTTACCACCAAAGAATTTATGAGACAGGTAGGGTCGTATGAGTAAGGTCAATAGTTTCATGATTTTGAGACCTTAAAGCGTAGTTTCTAACGGACTGTACAATGTTAGTGCCAGTTTCATTTCCCGGAAATTCCAGTTGGAAAGTAAATGGGGGGCGACTTTTCGAGGTCAAGATCAGAGTTCCTGATTTGTCGTGTTTACGTTTCTGTGTTTTTAGATTATTGAGATCGAGAACAAGTGGCTGTTGGAGGTAGCACCTCACTACTATAAAGCCAAGGAAATTGAAGATAGTTCCAATAAAAAGATGCCAAAAAGCACAGGAGTCACGAAAGAACAGGTCCGGTCCACCACGTGATGATAGCTGAATACGTTACAAAGAACTCTTACCGTCAAAGAGAGAAGGAGGACAGAGTGGTTTCCTCAACTGGCACTGCCGGTTGCTGTGACACGTAATATCTCCGGCATGCACACAGTTCGTCTTCCAATAATTGTAACCTGAAAGTTGTTACGTCAGGCTAGAGACACGTCCAGTGTGATTTAAACTTGGAAATGCAAAAATTTCCATGACTTTCTAGCACCTTTCAATCGCAGAAAAATATCCTCAAAGAATCCCAGACCGTTTCCAGTTTAGCCCGACTTTTGACTTTGGTCGTGGAAACAAGCTGAAAAGAGACTGCATCAGCCTTTGGGAAAGCATCAAGTAAAGCTTAAGTGACGTCGTAGGTGGCGAGTCGATAAATCGTGATAAGTTTATTTTTAGGATTGCTTTTGGGCAACTAAAAAAAAGCAAAAAAAAAACAATAAAAAACAAAAAAACGCCCCCAATTTAGACAGACTCAAAAGGTACGATCTGGACCTTTGTTGTTGAACGTAGCGGACAGATGACACAGTGTTTTATGCAGGGGGTTCTAGGGTAGAGAGGGAGGTCCGGAAGAGGACAGAAGTGGTAAAGTGGTGACAAAACCATCTCATAGCTATGATCATAACCCGAACATGGGTAATCTTTGTCCTTGTATGTAAATATAATAAACGTTTGATGGTAAGAGAATTCACAGAAATGTACGGCAAATCAGCTGTCTCGTGACGAGATGAAGTTATCGTAGCCAAACGCGCCCCAAATCGGCCGGTGCTTTTTTTCTAATATCATTCCGTTTAAGAGAATAGGAACTCAGGCTATGTTTCATACTATAACAGATAGCATTTGCGCCGGCACGAAAAGTATACCGGATGGGGATTCTGCGCCCACAATCTTCCCGTGCCCAACCGACCTCCAATTTTTAAAAATTTTTAAAACTAAACTAGTGAGCCGCACTCTGCGAACTGTTGCTGTAAAACTTGTTCATTCTCGTACGCGTTTCGTCTAAATAACGTAGACTTCTTCAGGGAGTTTTACAATCAAATACTAAACGCCTGTATTTAAGCCATAATATGACTAAAAATAATGATCGTCGCAAACATTGAAGGTTTGGCCGGATTTACGAAAAGGAACAAGCGCAGCTGTGGAATTTTTTACGCAAGGCGTAAGAAAACTTGTTTTTGTCTTGTGCTCCCGTCCTCGACAAAATGTGAAATTAGGTACTTTGACGTTGTAGTCGTTCAAGACAGCTAACAGAAATGTACAAAAAAGCGTAATGCACGCGCAAAGTTGTTGTTTTTGCTAAACTATCCTAGCTATTGCATTTTTGCCGTCGCCGTCGTCGTTACTGAAGCTCCCCAGGACGCGCCACTTCAAATGTTGCGTTCTAATTGTGTTTGAGCCTCGTCTGTAAAGTACCTGGCTTATGCTACTAAATACTTCTGATGTTCAACACTTTCGTCTTATGTAGTACCTATTCTTTCCGTTCTGGCCTTTGTTCCGCGTTTTTGTTCTCGCCATCAGTTTGTAAGTCCAAATTTAGCAAGAAAGTTTGGGAAAATCCGGCTTCATTTTAGAGACAAGACGAGCTTAAGGATATTCAGCAACACTGCAGCAGCTGGTAGTTGTTTTATACAACGCATGCCCGCCGGGACTGACTTTGAAGCTCAAACATCTTTTACAACGTTTCAAAGGTTAAAATAACTTTTCAATAATTGGAAAAAAAATACAATTATTAATCTTGCAAAAGCTGTAACAAAAACTCTACTTGGGGACGGTGGATTTCCACTGTCGCGTAATTTTTCCGTGCGTACGCTCGTAAAGCAAATTTTACGCGCGTAGTAGAGGCAAAGTGTGGTATGTCGCGCATACACGTAAAGGTTGAAACTCGCGGCAACTTTTACGTTTACGTGCGACCCGTTCATACAGTGTTTCTGTTATATTTACACGCTTAAAATTTACGTGTGTACGCACGGAAAAATTACGCGACAGTGGAAATCCTCCCTAACCCTATCAGGCTTAAATTCTAATTAGCTTGTAAATTTGGATACAATACACCCAATTCATCACACTATAATGACTGAACTTCCTTTGGCTATGTTAAACGTTTCCGTAGTTTACAGACTTTAACAGAGACAATTGGTGACAAAATTGTTGAGACCTTAGAGAGATTTTGAGTCACGTCTACGGCAAACGACAGACCCAAGTTGAGAATTTCTCAAAATAGAAAATGAGTAGCTAAAACCAGTCCAAAACAATTCTTATGGATGAAATAACGTGAAACTACTTTTGTTTTGTAGAAGTTAAGAACATGTAAAGACAAATAAAGAGAAAACTTGGTCACGTGGTACAAATTCACGTTTGCCGTTTGCCTTAAACGTGACTCTAAATCTCCCTGATGTCCTCAAATGGGCCACACCCCTCCCACTCCAATCCATTTGTGGAGGGGATGGGGATAAGGGAAAGCTTTATTTTTTCCTTTTAAGTTGGCAAAACGTCAGAGAGGCTCTTTAGGGAAAAGTGTCTCAACTATTAAATTTTGTCGCCGATTATTCTGATTGTACGTGAAAAAAAGTCATGATTCACATAAAAACAACCACTGCAAGCAATAATCCCGAAACAAGCGAGATGGCCACATGGTAACGGATGCCCACACTTGTAATTGGGATCTTGGAGGTGGCAGGGATTGGGGTAGTCGATGACTTGAGTTGCGGGCAATTGCCACCAAAGCAGTCAACTCTGCAGGTTTGTGCATCACACTGGTAGAAGCAGGTTCCATGGTGACAAGTTTGAGAGCACGTCTTCACGCTGGATGAACAGGTCATGTTACAGTCGTCAAAGCAGTCTTGGTAGCAATTTTCAGAATCACAGAACAACTCCTTCGTATTTCCACCATGCCTGCAGCTGCTACCAGGCATCGAGTTTGTGCACCTCATGGTGGTACAATTTCCACCCATAAAGCAGGACTGTAGGCAATCCTTAGCATTGCACCTAAACTCGTTGCAGTAGCCACCGTCGCAGCTCTGTACGCAGGTCTCCGAGGAACTACAAGCCAAGGTGTTGCATGTAGTCGCATTGCAATTCTGGCTGCAGCCATCATACGACTGATTGCACTGGAGCGAGCATGGTGGTTGGTCGCAGGGATCCTGATTACAAGTTTTGTTATTTGGCATCACGTCACAGATGGTTTTGTCGGTAGCTGAGACTTCGACAAAGTTTCCGGTGGTAAATATCAAAGCAATAACCAACAGCAACCCCATTCTTGATTATCACAGGCAACTATATATAAATAACAAGATAGAAATGAATCAAATGAACGACTGATGTACACTCCCTTTTTCGCAACATGCAAGGTAATCCACATTCCGTAATCCGGAAAATTTTTGCTTTTGGGATCGGGAATACAGGACATTTTTGTTTGTGGGATCGGGAATACGGAAAATTTTGTTTGTGGGATCCGGAATACGGGAAATTTTTGTTTGTGGGATCACAGGCAGCCCAAGCGCACTATGTGTGGGTTCGGGCTTCAGAGGTCATTTGGTCGGAATATACTAGAATTATTAGTGTATTATCTGATGCCAAATAAATGCAAAAATCTTAAAGATATGAAGTCTTCTTGTTTGTCTACCTGTACTAGTAGCCTTTAAGATAACGAAGGTCGATATTTCTTGCATTATTACATATGATTCGAGCCCTTATTGTTCGAATTTTATCACATGTATTCGAATCAGTCGAATCTACGACGCTAAGAAAAAAAAATCATGGTAACGCGAAATATTGATTCAAAAAGCTCCCTTACCTTTGGTTCATAGTCACTCTGTGTCCTACGGCCGGTTTAAACGCTGTTTAGTCGACTTTCTATCCATCGAGTACTGAACACTATAAAAGAAGGGAAGGCTGGAGACCTTCCAAGACCTTCCAACCGACCTTCTTTTATAGTGTTCAGTACTTGATGAATAGAAAAAAATATGAATTGTAAACTGAAGCCGGGACTAAAGCTACACAACAAAGGATCATACTAACAAATTTTGCCAGGGGTCGTAACTGTGCTTGGATTCAGTCTCCAGCGCTTGCTTCTGATTTTCCACATATTTGTCTGCAATTTTCCCGGGACATTTTAGTTGGCTGGAAGAACAAGTTTTAGAGACAAATGCATACAAAATTTAGAAAAAGTGGTGCTAGCGCATGTAGCTACATGTAACGCCCTCATATTCTTTAGTAGAATCCTTAGGAGTGAAGCTTTAGGTTACAATACATATTTTCAGAACACCCGTTTTACCGAAAGCTAAGTATTCGACATTGGATTCTCATACAAACACTGTAATTTTTCACGCTCTTGCCTACTCGTCAAGATGGCTTCCAAACCCGTGACAAGGTCTATTAATGGACCCTTTCTTCTCTCAGTATCTACTTTCACTTTGAAGATACAAGTCGTCGGTGTCGCGAGTGAATCTAGGCGCCGCAGATTTCGCTAAATTTCTTTAACTTTAAAGGAGCTGTGTCACGAAATTCAGCCAAATTAGGTAATTACAAAATGCCCATTAAATTAAGAGAAACGTAAAAATAACCGCTTAAAACATTAAAGGGAGATTAAAATAACACAACAGAAACAGCAGTGACCACGGATGGGCAAAACTGAAGAAGATTGAAATTAGGGTTTTTGAAAACTGTTCAGCCTAACAGTTTTTCAAAGTTGATCCCTGCTGCTTGCAACTTCAAAAATAATGCTCAGGAGACATATTTGTTTGTCTCGGATCTCTGATTTTGTAATTTGCCTGTAAATTCCTTGCTTACTTTAAGTTCTATAGGATTGAGGATGAGTAATTGGCAAAATTAAACAAAATGAACTGGACTGCCGTGACCCAGCCTCTTTAACTCTGTTTGTATTTGCGGAAGCTATGAGCAAAATGGCGAAATTACGAAATACTCCTGGCAAGTCCTACTTTATTTGAATATGGGAAAATGTCGGCAAAAAGAATCCGATTTAACTTACATCGTCTTCGATCACTAAACGAGTGTAGGAAATTATTTATGTATAAAATATATCGTCACCGGGTTGTTAGGCTTTGTTAAGCCGAGCAATGGAGAGGAGAAGTGTGAAGTCACGTTAGCATGGTTGCAAAATTTCTGGATGACAACAATGGCGCCCTAAAGCAACTACGACGGCGGTGGCAACAACAAAAGCAAAAAAGCAACAGGTTTAGATAAGCAAAACAACAAATTTCAACAACAATCACGCTTTTTTGCACATTTCTTAGCCGTCGTTGCACGACTGCGACATGAAACTTCCTTATTTCACGCGACCGCTTTATGAAGTAGGTGAACACAGCACAAAAACTCTTTCTTTTTCTAAACTTAGATACGGTCCTTTCGGATTCAATTCCAGAAAAGTTCGCCAAC